GCTTCCCGGGGTCCCCCGACAGCTGGCCGTCTCGGATGCAGGCTCACCCTCCGGCGGGTCAGGGTCCGGGCGCCCGGCGGAGGGGGGCGGGTCGTGCTCCAGACCTGGCGGCCCCCGGCGGCTCCTGGTGCCGGACGGCGTCCCTCGGGGCCCGGGCTCGTCCTCCCGAACCTCCCGTTCTGACCCGTGGGCTGCGGAGCAGCTCGTCGTCTTCGGGGACGCCCTGAGGTGGCGGCTCGCGCCCCTAACGTTCTCGGCCTCTTCCTTCTCGGACCGCCTGGTGTCTGAGGATGGCTCGGAGGGCGTCCGGCCCGGCCCTCCGCCGAAGATGGCGGCTTGGTGCTTCCCCAGAGCCGCGGGGTTCGTCTCGGGCCCAGGCCGCCCCCGGGACGACTCCATACTGCAGGTGGGGGCCGGAACCAGCGAAAGGGTCGCCCGGGTTCGGGAGACGTTGGCGGCGCCTTTAAGAGGCGTTGGTAGCCGCGCGCCGATTGGCAGCAAGCTGACAATGGTAAGGACAGGAAGAGCACTTTGATTGGTCGTGGCGACCAGAAATCCCGGAAGAGGAGCAGTAATTGGACTGTCGAACCCACGTGAGCTCCAAAGGGGTGGGGCGAAGGCGGTGACAGCCCCGCTCGTCGCCCCGCCCTTTGAAAAAGTTGAGGGGGCGTTTCTTAAAGAGGAAGGTCTGGAAATACCGGTGTCCCTGGGGGGCGGGGCCAAGACTTGCCCCGCCCACAGTGTCCCGCCCACAAACATCCACGAGAGATTCTTGACACGGAACTCGTATGGAAATCTCGTTTGGACCCTCGAGATGAACCTCACCTCCAAGGTCAAGAAAGACGGAACCAGAATTATCAGCAGAGCATGAATATGGTTCGTTCGGATGACAGATCAGCCGAGGAACTGCCTGAAGTGACTCGTGATCCGCAACAAGGGGTTAATTTAAGGGCTCCCTCATGCATTTGTCGCTCTGCCTTCTGTCCCTGCCCCTTTAACAGTCTCTCTTCCTCCGGAAGATGGGATGTTATTTTGCTATATAAGATAGGATGTATTTGCTATATGATTTTGCTATATAAGATAGGATGTATTTGCTATATAAGATAGATGTATTTTGCTATATTATTTTGCTATATTAGATAGGATTTTATTTTGCTATATATTATTCAATAAGCAAAATCACTACAACTTTTCAATTAGTTTGTTAAGTTTATTGCTGGTTTCCATCAAGTGGATTCTAATTCAGGGCAATTCTAATTCAAAGTGAGAAGTTGGTCTCCATAGGGTTTTAAAGGCTGTGACTTTTAGCAAGTAGTATGCCAGCTTTTAGTAGCCAGGCCTCCTCTTGATGGATTTGAACTGCCAACCTTTCTGCAAGTAGTCCTGGGAATAAGGTGTGACAGAAAATAGCTGAGCAGGCTCCAATATAGACAGGGGAATCAGGAAAGACCACTTAACTGAAAACCAGGCAGGGTGGAGGTGGGGGAGCCAACCATCTTCCAAGCTCAGCATATTCTCCACAGAGAGGAATATTTATGCAGAGACAGAAGTGGCTTGACTTACCAGAGAGTAGGGAATGGGGCTAAAGCAAAATGAACAAAGAGGGCTTTTGTTTGTTGTGCAATGAGATGATAAAAGTATGCAGGGACCACACCCTGCAGACCTTTGCAGACTCTTGTCATTCCCGATAGGTAAGGGAGATTTCCTCCCTCTTGGCAGAGGTGTAGTGGACACTGAAAGGATGTCAATCAGAGCACATAACCAACATCCCGCGACGTTGGTATTGAGTAATTACAAACGAGTTACTGAAGCTGTTAGCTGTGGTTGTTTGGATTCAAAGATGATAACAAAATCTAAATACGATGAAGGGAAAAGTAGCAGAGCCTAAATTGTGAACACCCAATTTGAAGAAGGCTATGGAGAATAATGGGAGCCCCAAATCCATCCCCAGACTGCCTAGTTAGTAGGCATTAGGATAGGATTAAGCCTCTGGCAGATCCCCTCTGGTCACAGTCCAGGGATGTGAACCGCTTTGCTATCAGATTATTTTAAATTCGATTAAGGTAGATGGAAATAGTCTAGTGAGACACCTAGTCAGTTGATCTCCCTGTTGACCCAACTTGAACTTGTTCTAGGTTTAAATATTCTCACTTGTTCCACGACAGAAATTTCTTCTCTGATTTATTTTAATATTGCTGGTGGTTTTTTTCCTTTTTCATCTTTATATTATCTTTTCTATTTTTTGTTTGCTTTTTATTGTTTCTCAGTTCAGGAAGCATAGGAAGAGAGGATGCATACAGACAATAACTGACGCAACGGTTTAATCTGAATGGGGGGAGGGTGAGGGGAATTGGGGAGCAAATAATGAATACAAAAGTGGAGAGAAAGCACTAGAACTAATTGTGATGTACATGCAACTCTTTGAAAAAGCAACTGGACTGTGGAAGTATATGATATGTGAATTTTATATCAATAAAACTATTTTTTGAATGAAAGAACCTGGTTGCTCTTATCCAGATAGAGAGCTGACCTGAGTCCCCGTCATACCAGCACTCAGAAGTGCAACGCCCCATCTGTCCCAACTCTCTGCCAGGGTCTCAGCCCGTTGGCAGCAGCTCATCCTTTCACCATCTCTCTGTATTTTCAGTCATCAGAGACTTGATAAAATCTGTCATTTCTCTGCTCTTAAAAAAAAAAAAGCCCACACATATTTGGATGGGGCAGATAGTTCTTAGAGGTTGGGGAGCTTTTCCTGAGAATGGGAAGCTGGACATAGGAACAGAATGATGTGATGAGCTTCATGTTTGAGGATCACTGATTTTCATGGGAATGGTTGGAGGCAGAAGGGAATAGATCAGGGCGGAGTCTGTTGATTCACCCAAGTACAAGGGGGCAACAACTGGGCTGTGGACACAACCTGGACATTTTTTTAAATACCAGGGTAAGTCCAGAAGTATTGCCTCAAATTCAAAGAAAGTATTCAAAAATATCAAAATGGGAAGGTAGCTCTTATTGGCGCATCCTTCATTGAGATCTATGTGCTTCTGAAATAATCCCAGTGTCCGTCAACAGATGAATGGGCAGGGAGGCTGAAAACAGGAGCTGGCACCAAGGACTCAAGTAGAAAGAAAATGTTTTGAAATGAGCAACATCTGCACAGATGTGCTTGATGCACTGATGTATGGATTGTTACAAGAGCTATAAGAGCCCACAGGGCAAGATATGACAAAATACCCATTTATAAACTATCAAGGGCTCATGAGGGAGGGGGAAAATGAGGACCTAATGTTGGGGGTTTCAGT